ACACACACACACACACACACACACACACACACACACACACACACACAGAGCCTTGTATCTTCTAATATGGATTAGAAGGCTAGTGGGATCGCTCCCCTCCAAACCGCTTTTCCTGACTCTCTCGGGGGACCAGATCTGGATCCTCTAAGCAAAGCACTGTGATGTAACCCTCAGTACTTGAGAAGGGCCACATCCCACCCATCATCTGCTAGGACCCCAGAACATGAGTCACTGTTTAGCCGGTGACCTCCTGCTGAGAGCTTTATTTCACAATAAGCCTTTGATAACTTAAGGGGCACACTTCACTCTTGGAGGCCTCTTGGCAGCCAAGACTGGCCGTCTGTCAGGCTGGAAAGCCCCATAAGCTGACACAAGCCTTCCCTCCCAAGACAGGAATGTTCTCAGAGCCCAGATGTTCACAGCTTCCTCTGAATAAAAGTACCCTTTGGAGACAAGTGTGGGCATTGGGAGCCCATCCCGGGCATCTCTGGAAGTCTTAGCAGGGTAGTCTACAGCCTGAATATTAAAACAAGCCCCAAAAACAAACAAATAAAAATCTAGTGGTTCTCAATCTTTCTAATGCTGCAGCCATTTAATACATTTCCTCATGTTATGGTGACCCCAAACTATAAAGTTATTTCATCACTACTTCATAAGTGCAATTTTGTTACTGTTATGAGTTGTAAATATTTGTGCTTTCAGATAATCTTAGGAAACCCTGGTAAAAGGATCGTTCGAGACCCCCCCAAAAGGGGTCACGACCAACATGTTGAGAACCACTGCTAGCCAATACATACACTTATACATGTATTTGTTTGCCTTTCTGAGTCTGCATGGCTCAATGGAAAATTCAAAATTATGTTTTATCTCCTGCCTACTGGGCCCAGTTATGCATTTTACTATTTATTATTGCTAAAAGTTATTCTGAAATACTTTCAAAATATTATATTCATGTTAATGACTCTTTGTTAGAAAATGCAGCTAAATGAGATGTATGTTGCATATTCAACAAGTGATGAGACATTTACTTTTGAGCTCTTTAATAGGCCAGGGATAAGCAGGCAATGAACTCACCAAATTAACTAGATGCAAAACTACCACACTCTGCTTCCTCAAATTCTGGTGCAAATCCGGATCCCAGGGGTAAGTCAAGAGGTTGACAGAAACCGAGTCTGCTTTATCGAGACTAGAAATCAGGGCCTTGTTTATCTTGTTAGCAACAAACCCAGAGTGATTTCTGCCCAGCCGAGTGTCTAACTAATTGAGCTCCTCCCCTAATTCCCCCATCCCCCATGGACATGCTCTTAAGATCATTTCCCCTTCCCCATCCCCCACGGACATGCTCTCAAAATCATTTCATTTTCTAAATGGTTTATTTATTTTAATTCTATGTGTATGAATGTTGGCCTGCATGTATGTATGTATGTATGTATGCACATTACAGGAGTGCAGTGGCCCTGGAGGCCAGAAGAGGATGTCACAACCCCATGGAATTGGAGTTACAGGTGGTTGTGAGCCACTGTGTGGGGGCTGAGAACTGAACCCAGATCCTCTTCAGAAGTGGTCAGTGCCGTTATCCACTGAGCCATCTCTTTAGCTGCCTCAGGTAGCTTATTAAGCATTTCATATAACTGAACAGCATCTGACCTTCATCCTAAGGGTTTTACTTGGAAAAAAAATGAAGATAAAGTGTGAAAAGAAACAAGATTGTACTTGACTGTTTTAGTAGGGGAGTCTCTAGACATCATTTACCGTCCCCCAAAACTAGAATACAAGTGACAAGCAAGTGGATGGAGAACCTTAGCAGCACCAAGCCTCCAAGCTATGGCCATATCCCACCAGGAAAGCAGGCTGAGTAACCCACACCAGGAACCCGACTAAAGTAAAGCCTAAAGTTGTCCCAAGGTAGCCTAAGCCTTTAGAAAATGTAATTTTTTCATTAATAATTCTTCATCCTAATAAAATGTAACCAGAAAGTGAACAACTCAAGGAATTTTTATTTGTATTTATTCTTTTATTCTTTGAGAATTTCATATAACATATTTTGATAATATTCACCTCTTCCATAATCTCTCCTAGATTCAACCCTCACCTCCCTAATCCATCTGATTTCATGTTTTCCTTTAAATCCCCCCCCCGGCTGTTATGTAACAGCTTCCTCTGAGGTTGAAGCATTCCATCCTGCTGAAGCCTCCGTAAGCAAGAAGGTAAAGGGTTCAAAATAGCTTCAGAAAGTCCCCAAACTAACTAGATGCGTGAGTTCCTCCTTGCTAGTGTAAGCAATAGCAACTGAGAGTCTCTCTCAGACAAGCCACGTGCAGAGGAGACTCTTAGGAGACCAGACCCCGCTGTCTGGAAGAGGTTTAGACCAGAGTCCTGTGGAAAGGACACTCCAACCTGTTGAAGTGCCTGAAGGCTGGGCAGGCTGCTCTGGGTTTTCCAGCCTTTGTGAGCTGTCATCCATGCTGGGGTGGGCTTCAGTGCTTCAGCTGTCTTTTGAGTCGTTTCTGCTCCTGTGAGTCACCTTACAAAACTCTAAATTAGATTTTGGGGTATCCATACTTTGATCTGTCAGGGGTCCCCACCTGGGGTCAGTGGGCAGGTGTGTGGCATCTACCTCCCAAGGGTAAGTTCGTTATACAGCATCAGTCAAATCTGAGCTGACCCACTGCTCTGGGAGTGGGGTTGTGCAATGTTATCTACCTACTAGGGTCACACAAAACAAAAACTGATTTTTTTTTTCTCTCTCCCAACAGAGGCTGCCAGAAGCCGAGGTGAGACTGGGATTTTATTTATTTATTTATTTATTTATTTATTTATTTATTTATTATTTATTTGTCTGCCTTGGGCTTTCACTGGTCTTATGCATCTTCCCCCAATCACTATGAACTGGTATGGGCGACCATTCTGTCATGATCTTGAAGTGCCACCACCTCTGGCTCTGACAGTCTTTCTGCCCTCTCTTCCTAAATGGTCCCTGAGTCTTAGAGGAAGGATGTAATCAGTGCATCCTATACAAGGTCTCGCTACATCACCTTGGCTGGCCTGGAACTCACCATATAGACCAGGATAATCTCAGACTCACACAGATCTGCCTGCCACTGCCTCTGGTACTGGGAATTAAAGGTATGAGCCACCAAGCCTGACTCAAGAAATTTTTATAAATTGGCGTTATTCCCTTTCGTAATAAGAAATTGACCCCCAAAGTGATTACACCTGCATCAGTTCTCTCATGAACATCAGAAGCTGCTGGAAAACTCATTCCAGCCCACTTTATTGTTTTCTTTGAGTTAAGCCAGCGGAACACTGACCTGCAGATCTTTCAAAACAATTACTTCAGCTGCTCATGTACCTCTGGCATGGCAAACATACGAAGGTCCAGGTTAGATGAGGTCTGAGATCTTTATAAGAACCAAGGATCCCTTATGAACCTAGCAAGTCCTCCATACACTTGCACTTTCTTCAGGCTCGTTTCCCTACTTCCTAAGAAAAATTCAGTTTCCTGTGGGTGAGCTCTCCCCAGCCCACTCTCAACCCACACCTCCGCTCCTCAAGTGCAACTGCGATCTACTTCCCTGAAGCTCTCCTGTTGGTCCCAAGTGCACCTTTTACCCCAAAGGGAACAAGTCCAACAGTCCTCGTTTGCACTTGATATTTCTCACCCTACACTGCAGTCTCCTAGACCCCTCCCAGGTACCTGCGATGCCTTGACCTCCAGCTCTTTCTCATATCACGTGAGTTAGCATCCCTGCAGTTACTAGGCTCCTGTCATCTCCCTACACATCAGCCTCTAGGAACCTGGACATGTCAGAGCAAGGGTGGTCCACCCAGGGAAGCACTATAATTTCAAAAGGCATTGACTCCCTTTTTCTAATGAAGGACCCTGTTAGCGGAGGCTACTCATTTGTTTCCCGACCAACCTGACTCAAAATAATCACACAGAAACTATATTATTTGCAATACTGCTTGGCCAATAGCTTAAACATATTGCTAGCTAGCTTTTATATTTTAAATTAATCCAATTCCATTATTCTATATTTTACCATGAGGCTTGTGGCCTACCAGAAAGGTTCCAGTTGGTAGCACACATCTTTCTCCTCTGGCATCTCACTGACTCCACCTACTTTCCCCCAGCATTCATTTTAGTTTTCCTGCCTAGCTCTATTCTGCCCTATCACAGGCCAAAATAGCTTCTTTATTCATTAGCCAATAAAAGCAACATAGTTTTCCTGCCTAGCTCTATTCTGTCCTATCACAGGCCAAAGAAGCTTCTTTATTTATTAACCATTAAAAGCAACATATATACAGAAGGATTTCCCACACCAGGACCCTAACATCAAATTAGCATCCCTAACAAGCACACCATGCTATTGACTCAGCAGGTGGATTAAAACCTCCTAACTTCAGGTGTGGGTCTTAAGATTCCTCATTCCATATCTGCTCAGTCACGTTCAGGGGAGCCCAGTGTTCTTTCTCAAACTGCCTGCAAATTATACAGTGTTCTTTGGTCCTATTCCTAATCTCTGCTGTGAGATGCTTTTGGACTCTAATTGTAATATCTTGTACCTGGGTAGCCCCTTCAGCTGCCCATCATGTTGCTGGGGTACCAAGGCCTTCATCTTGGTTGCTAACGAAAGCTTTCAGCAGGAGCATGGTCCCAGCAGGTTCTGTCAGCGACAGCCCATGATCTCTCTGCAGGTTGATGTCCAACAATTCCCTCAATGCACTTGGGTAATTATATAGCTAGACACGGTCTCTGTCGCAAATAAATACAGAGCGATCCCATGGTGTCGAAAACTCACATCTGTACACCTAAGATTACCT